TCACAGACTGCTGGAGACACATCTGAATTCTGGCTCAGCCAGAGTCTCCAGTCTTGGAATCTCAGGTCTTGATGAATATCCCAGACATTCACAGGAGGGCCTAGAAGGCCGTGCCTTGGGATTAAGGAAGATTCCCTAGGAATAAGGGCAAAACTAAAAAACAGCTCACCCTAACAGAACCTAAAATGGAGCCTTGACACTCATGATCCAGTTAACCCATCAGTGATTTAATTCCCTGCCAAAACAACTCAACACTAGAGTAGGATAACATAATCCACATCTTTACAATGAAGGTTCACAATGTCTGACAGATCAAGTAATACTAGACGTGTGAAAAAGTGAGAAAATGCATCCTAAAATTAAGAGAAAACTGGTCAATATGAACAGACCCACCATGCATGGTGGCGCATGCCTGTAATCCCAGCACTTTGGGAAGCCAAGGCAGATAGATCACTTGAGCTCAAGACTTCGAGACCAGCCTGGGCAAAATGGCAAAACCCCATTCTACTAAAAATTCAAAAATGAGTCATGTGTGGGGGTGTGCAGGGGTCCGTAACCCCCAGGCTGTGGACTGCACCAGTTAGGTACCTGTTAGGAACCAGGCTGCGCAGCAGGACGTGAGTGGTGGGCGGTGAGTGTTACTGCCTGAGCTCTGCGCCCTGTCAGATCAGCAGGCATTAGATTCTCATATGAGTGTGAACCCTAATGTGAACTGCACATGTGAGGGATCTAGGTTTCGCACTCTTTATGAGAATCTAATGCCTGATGATCTGAAGTGGAACAGTTTCATACCATAACCACTGCCCCTGATCCTGTCTGTGGAAAAATTGTCTTCTGTGAAACCAGTCAGGACTGCAGGTAGCAAGTGCCTGTGGTCCCAGCTACTTGGAAGGCTGAGGTGGAAGGATGGATTGAGCCTGGGAGGTGGAGTTTGCAGTGAATTGAGATCATGCCGCTGCACTCCAGCCTGGACAACAGAGTGAGACCTTATCTCAAAGAAACAAATAAACCAAAAGAGCCAGGCATGGTGGCTCACACCTGTAATCCCAGCACTGAGATGGTGCCATTGCACTCTAGCCTGGGCTACAAGAGCCAAGCTCCATCAAAAAAAGAAAGAAAGAAAGAAAGAAAGAAAGAAAGAAAGAAAGAAAGAAAGAAAGAAAGAAAGAAAGAAAGAAAGAAAGACTCATAAATGGCTCACACATTGGAATTAGCAGGCAAGAGGAGCTTTAAAGTAACTACATACATACATTAAAGAATTTAGAGAAATATCAACACCTGTGAAGGATGGTAAAATAAGAATTTAGAGAAATAAGTTTTAGTATAAGTATGTCCTAAATATGCATGGTACATACTTACTAAAATAGTTTACTTTTTATCAGAAATCTAAATTTAAGTGGGTGTGCTATATTTTATCTGGCAGCTCTACCCCAAAGCCAAGCAGGAGAGAGTCCAGAGTCCTACCTTCCAGCAGGTGACCTAGCCTAGGACAGGGCCTGGCCAGGGGCAATTGTGCATTGGATGGGTTCGAGATGCCCGTCATTCAATGTGTCAAAGGTTTGCCAGGCCACCATACAATCAATATTATTTGTATTTAACATTTTTCTCTAAAGCAACTTTAAAATTTTTAACCTTGTATTTGGAAATATAGATTCAGAGGAAATTTCAAAGATGGTACAGAGAGGTTTCATGGACTCCTCACTCAGTTTCCTCCAAAGGTTCTATTTTGTATAAATGTAGGACAATATCTAACAATGTCACGTGTCTAGGTCTATGCCATTTTATCACATATGCAGACTCTTTTAACCACCGCTACAATCAAGATACAGAACTGTTCTACCACCACGAAAATCCCCCTCCTGCTATTCCTCTGTACTCATTCCAGGCTCTTCCCCTCCACTATTCCTACTCCTGGCAACCACTAATCTGCTTTCTGTCTTCATAATCTTCTTACTTCAAGAACATTACAAAATGCAAAAATTAGCCAGGTTTGGTGGCACCAGCTTGTAGTTCCAGCTACGTGGAGGCTGAGGCAGGAGAATTGCTTGAACGTGGGAGGTGGAGGCTACAGTGTCCTGCCACTGCAGTCCAGCCTGAGAGACAGGGCGAGACTCTCTCAATGAATGAATGAATGAATGAATGAATGAATGAATGAATGAAGGCCTGGCACAGTGGCTCACACCTATAATCCCAGTGCTTTGGGAGGCCGAGGCAAGTGGACAAAAATTAGCCAGGCATTATGGTGCGTGCCTGTACTCCCACTTACTTGGGAGGCTGAGGCATGAGAATCACTTGAACCCAGGAGGTGGAGGCTGCAGTGAGCTGAGATCGTGCCACTGCCCTCCAGTCTGGGCCACAGAGTGAGACTTCATCTCAAAAACAAAATAAAAAAAAAACCAAACAAAGAAAAACAGAACATTATATAGATGGAATCACACAGTATGTGGCCTTTTGAGACTAGGTTTTTTTTTTTTTTTTTCTACTCAGCAAATGCCTTTTAAGATCCATCCAAGTTGTGCATGTTCCTTTTTATTGTTTTTTTCTGTTTGAGATGGATTCTTACTCTGTCACCCAGGCTGGAATGCAGTGGCAAGATCTCAGCTCACTGCAACCTCTGCCTCCTGGGTTCAAGCGATTCTCCTGCCTCAGTCTCCTGAGTAGCTGGGATTATAGGCACTCACCACCATACCTGGCTTTGTTTGTTTGTTTTTTGGATGAAGTTTTGCTCTTGTTGCCCAGTACAATGGCGCAATCTCGGCTCACTGCAGCCTCTGCCTCCTGAGTTCAAGCAATTCTCCTGCCCCAGCCTCCTGAGCAGCTGGGATTACAGGTGCCTGCCACCATGTCCAGCCTTTTTTTTTTTTTTTTTTTTTTTTTTTTTTTTGTATTTTTAGTAGAGATGGGGTTATACCATGTTGGCCAGGCTGGTATTGAACTCCTGACCTCAGGCGATCTGCCTGCCTCAGCCTCCCAAAGTGCTGAGTTTACATGTGTAAGCCATCATAGTACTTCATAGAATGGATGTATCAGTTTGCTTAACCATTCACCTATTGGGGGGTATTTGGTTGTTCCCAGTTTGGGGCTATTACAAATAAATCTGCCGTGAACAATCTTGTGTGAGGTTTTGTGCACACATTAGTTTTATTTTCTGGTACAAATGCCCAGAAGCAATTGCTGGGTCATATATTGAGGTGGATGTTTAATTAAAGAAGCTGCCAAACTACTTCTTAGAGTGTCTGTACCATTTTATATTCCCACCAGCGATGTATGAGAGAGTGAGTTTTGTCTGCATCCTCGCCAATATTTGATATTATCACTATGTTTGATTTGAGCTGTTCTAATAGATATGTAGTGATATCTTACTGTGGTTTTAACTTACATTCCCCCAGTGGTTGGTGTTGAAGATCTATTCCTGTGCTTTAAGTCAACTCATTTTTAAAACCTAAATAAATGTATTTAAAAAGGAAACTTTTGCTTTGGGAGGCCAAGGCAGGCGAATTGCTTGAGTCCAGGAATTCAAGACCAGCCTGAGCACATGGTGAAACTCCGTCTCTACTAAAAATAAAAATATCCGGCATGGTGGCGTGCACCTATGGTTTCAGCTACTCGAGAAGTGAAGCAGGAGGATTGCTTGAGCCTGGGAGGTCGAGGCTGCAGTAAGCCATGATTGCACCATTATACTCCAGCCTGGGTGACAGAGCAAAACCCTGCCTTAAATAAATAAATGAATAAAAGGAAATTTGTGATTAGTGGTTCTCAAAGTGTGGTCCCTGAGCCAGCAGCATCAACATCACCATCATCTGAGAACTTGTTAGAAATGCAGATTCTCAAGCAGCACCCCAGACCTCCTGAATCAGAACCTCTGATGTGTGGGTTCAGTGATCTGTGGGTTAACAAGCCCTCCCGGTGAGAATCGGTCTCATTTACTACAAATAGAAGGTAATGGTAAAAATAAATGCATCTGCGTATTGCCTAAAATCCTCTTGGGGCCCACACTTTCGGGCAGGGGCCCCACTCACAGAGGCTATGACAAGAATGCTCCTGTCCCTGGGGCTGTGCAGTGACAGCTCACACAGCTGCACGTGGCAGTTCTGAGTTTGGGAAGCGCTGATGCAGTCCTACCACAGCCCTTCCTGCCCTTCACTGGACTGAGAAAATCCGGGGTCTGAGGAGGGCGAGACTTGGCCAAGGTCACCCAGCAACATGGTCAGTCTCCTCTCCCAGGGCCCTCACAGTGCCTGGCCTGTTTAAAGCCTGCCCCTATTCACTGCTGGGTGAAAACTCCAGCTCCAAAACAGAATATGGGGAAGGATACTATCTTGGGCAGCTTATGTTTATAGCTGCAGATACATGGGGAAAAATGTCCAAAAATACTGTTGAAGCTGTTATTTAGGGAGAGAAGGGGTTTGCTGTTTGTGTTTTTAATTTTTATATTTCATAATTTTTATCACAATGCATAGTTACATAATCAAAATTTATCAAATGTTAAAAATCGACATGAAGTCTGATCCAGCCATGGCCTATCATTGGCAGAGTCAGGAAACCTTCCAGATAAAGCAGCCCCGCACCTGCCCCAGGTCACACCCTGGGCCTGGGCACATGCTAGGTCCTCTGTCTGGACATCCTCACCCCGTGGTGGCCTCCACATCTGAACCCACCAGTACCTCCTGTGGGTGAGGCCCTACCCTGCATCCAGCTCTGGGCACCCCCTAGCCCAGAGGGCACCTCATGGTGTGAGAGTCCGTCTGTCTGTCTCTAAAGAGAGGAAAGCTCCTTGGGACATGTGTTCCGCTTGACCATCACCCTGGCCTGGTACAGAAAGGTGGACAATGGGTATCTGGTGAATAAATGAATGAATGATTGGAATGAATCCCCTAAATGGTGATTTCCTGAGGCCCTTCTCCAGCTGGCCCAGGCGGAACCAATTCCACTTTACACAGGAAAGCCAGGTGTGAGGAGCAGGGCAGGTATGTGTGAGGGGCCAGGTTCTCAAAGGCAGCATGGACACGGGGCTTGTGGCGGGTCTCGGGGCAGCAGTGCTGCTGTGGAAGCTTCGGGGAGGGCTCATCCCTGGAATCCCCCAGGGGATCCTGCTGCGTGGTGTGAGAATTCCTGGCTGGTGGGGACGCACAGGGACTTGTTTGGATTGGCCATCTGGTCCAGTCCAAGGAGCTGCGCCTCCAGCCCCTCGGGGAAAAACTCACTTTTGATGTGTGACAACAGCTGCAGGCAAGGGGAGGGAGAGGTGTGCTGGGCCTTGGTCTTAGAAGCCAGAAGCCAGTTCATGCCCCTGCCTTGGTCTACGTGGGAAAGGGATGGGACCTCAGCTAGCTCTAGGGTCTGGGTTATGATAAGGGCCCTCCCTTATGGACTCAGTGACACAGGCTGACCCAGCCCCTCCCCGAGCCTCATCAGTGAAACCAGGGGTTTCGACAGGGCTGGGCCAGGGCTCTCAACACCTCCCAGCTCTGACCTCTGGCTTTCTCCCAGGAGGGCAGGAGATCAGACAGAGGTGACCCAGGCTCCCCTGTTTACCTCAACCTCCTTGTGGAGCCTCCCTCTTTCTGCCTGTGTGGTGGGTGGGGCTGGAAGGAGGGGCATTCACCTGTAGGTCTCTGACTTCTCTGCTCAAGTGTGCCTAGAGAGCCTGGTCTACACCCAGTGCTCTGCTACACCCGATGGCCTGACCACAGCCTCCCTGCCTCCAGAGCAGCCCTGGCCCAGGGAAGAAGCTGGTCTCTGCATTGAATGATAGGTAGAAAATGGAAGTCGGGACGACAGCTCTGGAAAGGAGCCAAGGATGAGGTGCCTTCCCAAGGATGTGGAGGGTTTTTTCCAGAATGGAGCTTGACTGGTGCAGGCAAATATCAGGAGGTGGGGAGGGTGGCTCCCTCTCTGAAAGCTGGGGCGACTTGCCTGGGCCAAATGGTGGTAGGCTGTGGATAGGAGCAGGCAGAGCTGGGGTGCCCAGAGCCTGGGGTCCCTGTCCTTGCAGAGGACTGGAAAATAAAACAAGTGTCCCCTGCCCTGTGGCTGGGGGACATCCTCCACTTCCAAGCCCAGACGCACACCAGCTGCCACAAGCCCCTGAGGCTCTTCAGAGGACCAATGGGCAGCCACACCCATGCTGGACCAGCCTTCTGGGCCCACCTGCACCCTGGTCAGAGCCCATGACTGAGGGGACTCTCTGGGAACAATGGGGGCAGTCTTATGCTGCCCTCTTACAGGTGGGTCAGTCCCTGGGATCTGGTGTTGGGCTGGGGTGGGCTGAGGCTGTTCTCTGCCGGGGTGCCTGGTGGACAGCAGGTAGAGCAACTTCTCCTTGGCTTTTCTGGACCTCAGGACACAGCTGAACACTGCGCTTTACCCTGGATGCCTTCAGATCTTCAGGGGACCCTGGGAAGGAAGAGGGGCTGCCCCTGCAGGGGGCCAGGACCCTGGCCCATGCTTGCTCCCTGCAGCAGGCACCTCCTCTCCAGATTGATATCACCTGATTCCTGAAGTCCTGGGCTACTGACCAGAGAGAGCCCCAACACCCTCACCAAGGCCTGTTCTTACATCAGAGCAGCTAGTACACGAGTTCGGAGCTGAAGGGCGCAGAGAGAGAACACAAGGCTTTGTAAGAGTTCTCGGCTTCCTGCTGCAGTGGGCCCCCTAGAAGGCCGCCCAAAAATCGGCAGCTGCTGTAAGTCACTGGGAGGAAACTGCGGCAGATATGTGTTTCCCAGCCTGGTAGATGCAGGGGGGTGTCCGGGCCCCCGAGTGGGAGGCCCAAATGAGGCCTTGGATGTGGCAATGCAGGAATTCTAGCCAGCACTGGAGCCCTGGGCAAGTCATTTAATCTCTCAGAACCCCATTCCTAGTCACCATGGGGCTCTTGTGTGGATGTAAAGGACCCTCAGGCCACTTATGTCCCATCAGTGGAAGCCTAGCGTGGGTGGAGACCCCCGAGACTGAACTCAGTGGCGGGATCCAGCCTGCCCAGCTCTCCTACTTAGAGCCCAGAGCCAGCAGGGTGGGCTTCCTGGAGACGCAGGCGCTCCTGCGGGCTGGGGAGCATGAGCAGTGTTCCCTTTGGGGAGGTGGAAGAGGCTGCGGTCAGTGGAGACCATCATGAGGCAGAGCTTGGGCAGAAAAGGCCTGATGATCGGGGGATCTGAGATCTGACAGAGCCTGGACTAAGGACACTATGCCACTCAGGCGGTGGAAACTGAGCTACGGCTGGGCTCCCTGGTCCTGAGTGAGGCCTTGCCAGTCCTGGAAGCTGTGCCAAAGGTGGCTCCATGTAAGGGCGCATCTGAGCACTTTTTTTTTTTTCTTTTTTTTGAGACAGAGTCTTGCAGTGGCATGATCACAGCTTACTGCTGCTTCAAACTCCTGGGCTCAATTGATTCTCCCATCTCAGCCTCCCAAGGTGCAGGAATTACAGGCCTGAGCTATGGAACCCGTTTTAAATCTTAATAACTATCTGCTCCTGGTCTGCTTCCCTGGCTGACACACAGGCTGGCATCTTGCGCCCAGACAGACATGTTTCTGGACTGGTTCCATTTGTTCTGACAGGCTCCTCCCTCTCAATGACCGCATGTTACAGTATGTGGCTATTCTTACACATTTCTGTAAAGACCTGAGGGTTAGTATATTAATGTCAAAGTTCTACTGGTTTTCGAGGCTGGGTGGAATGTTTGGGTTAATTTAGCTGTGGGCATCTTGACAATATAGGCTTTCCCTCCGGGAACGGTGATTCTGGGACGCAGGTTTTGCACATTCTGGTTTATTGCTTGGCTCGCTGGCACAGAGGGATGGCACTGCTCCACACACCATGCCCAAGAGATGTCCCACCTCATCTTTCTAAATCAAGCTGAACATTCTCAGCTGACAGCATATCATCAGTGTGCGGGGACTCACTCCCCACAACCTGAGATGAAGTGAGGCGGAGACTGTGGAGCAGATCCGTGCTGACTGCATTCGTCCTTCCTGACCTGCACTGCTGCTGGCCGGGGCTGTGTCTGAGCTGACAGAGGGCACTGATTTGGGGACCAGGGAGGGGACAGTACTGGAGAAATGCCTCTCACCTCCCTTAGCTCCTCCTGTCCACCCAACACTTGGTCACCAAGGCCCCTGACTTCCAGGTCCCAGTCACCACTAACAGGGTGCTGCATGGGAACAAAGTGTAGGGACAGAACCTGGAGTTCAGGTCACTCCTCCTTCCAGTTGAAGCCTCTGCCCCTCCCAGGTGATTCCAGCCTCATTCCTCCATGGGCCAAATATCATAAACAAAGGCCTGGACGGGGGTCTTTATCCGAGTGCCCAAAAACACAAGCAGAAAGGCTCTGCATGCCCCCGTGGCCTGCCAGAAGTAAGAGCCTGGCCGTCAAAATGCACAATCCTGGTTCTTGCAGGAAGGTGAGGAGTGGAGGAAGAAAAAATCCATCTCATTCTTTTAGCAGGAACCTAAACTTGGGAAAGCCAGACCCAGTATATTTCTTAATCCGGATACTTTTATAACTGGTTACAGCGGGGTCACAAGCACAACTGTTTTCTAACATCTTTCAACTGGCCACATAACACAATGTAATTTATTTTTTTCTTTTTCTTTTTTAAGGCCAGGGGAGTGACTCACACCTGTAATCTCAACACTTTCAGAGGCTGAGGCAGGAAGATTGCTTGAGGCCAGGAGTTTGAGACCAGCCTGGGCAACATAGCAAGACCCCATATGCAACAGAAAAACCCTGTCTCAAAAAAATTTTTTTTCAGTGCAGTGGCATGATCACAGCTCACCATAGCCTCCAGCTCCTGGGCTCAAGCAATACTGTCACCTCAGCAGTTGGGACTCTCAGAGTGCACCACCACATCTGGCTGATGTTTTAATTTTTGGTAGAGGTGCAGTCTCACTATGTTGCCCATGCTGGTTTTGAACTCCTGGCCTCAAGAGATCCTCCCAATGTGACCTCACAATGCATTGGGGTTACAGGCATGAGCCAACATGCAGCCCCTGCAAAATCTGTTCTCCTGGTGCTTCTTTTGGACCTCCTAGCTAGACTGCCATTGGCAAATACTAGTTTATTATTTTCCCAACTTGTGTTAATGGATTTCCCATGTTTTATTTATCTAGACTAGGGTTTCTCAGCAGCAGCACTATTGATGTTTTGGGCTGGATAATTCTTTGTTATGGAGCTGTTTGTGCCTCACAGGATGTTTATCAGCATTCCCAGCCTCTGCCTGCTACATGCCAGTAGCACTCCTCAGTGTGACAGCCAAAATGATTCCAGATATTGTCAAATATCCACAGGGAGGCAAAATCACCTCCAGTTGACAACTGCTGACCTAAAAACCTCTGGAACAATGTTAGATCATGGTAATGACAACACATACTGCTCCTGAGCTTAATGGGAATCCCTCTAGCATCAAAGTATAGTAGCACCTGTATACTACTGTCTGGGCTGTTATTAGTATACTGTATTAATCCATTCTCACGCTGCTATGAAGAAATACCCAAAACTGGGTAATTTATAACAAAAAGAGGTTTAAGTTGACTCACAGTTCTGCATGGCGGGGGGGAGGGGCTCAGGAAACTTACAATTGTGGCAGAAGACACCTCTTCACAGAGCAGCAGGAGAGAGGAGAGCTGAGCAAAGGGGAAAGCCTGTTATAAAACCATCAAATTTCATGAGAACCCACTCACTATCACAAGAACAGCATGAGAGAAAGTGCCCCCATGATTCAATTATCTCCACCTGGTCCCACCCTTGACCTGTTGGGATTATTGCAATTCAAGGTGAGATCTGGATGGGGACACAGAGTCAAACCATATCATATCCTTTATATTAGCCTACTGTATCAAAGTAGAATTTTCTTTCTTTCTCTTTTTTTCCCCCTTTGAGACAGAGCCTTGCTCTGGCTCTGGCTGGAGTGCAGTGGCACGATCTCAGCTCGTGGTAACCTCTGCCTCCTGGGTTCAAGCAATTCTTGTGCCTCAGCCTCCCAAGTAGCTGGAACTACAAGTGTGTGCCACCACAGCCAGCTAATTTTGATTTTTTTTTTTTTTTTTGAGTACACATGGGGTTTGACATGTTGTCCAGGCTGGTGTCAAACTCCTGGCCTC